TACTGTTTACTGTTTAATTTACGAGTCCACTGTAAACATAAACTAAACAGTTGGAGCCTTAGGCCTTAATCCTTGTCCCTGGTCTGATGATTCGATTGAGTCTTGAAATGTGCGGCGAGGCTAAAATGAGGAGATACCCGAGGAGGCGAACATAGGTGGGAATTGAACCCACGCCCTTGACACAAGACTGCCACGCTCTGACCAACTGAGCTACTGCGTTCGCCCTCTCGAGTGCCAGTTCTGCAGTGACACCATATATATACATTTCCATCATGATTAATTTGCAGGCGCTGCGCTTGATTTATCGAGTTTTCCAACTCGGTTTTCAATCCATTCATTTCCCAATTTCTCATCGCGATGCGTGACTCCAGTATATATGCGACAATTGCTTACAAGAACACGCAAGTTAGGGACACGTAGTCAACAAGTACCTACAACTTTATGTGAGGAAAACTTCTTGTGAAATTTCTGGAGAGCCTGAGTCAGCGAAAGCGATGATGGGCACTAGAGATTCGCCTGCAGAATCTTAGACATAGGGCCGCACAATCGGGAGTATAGACAGGTGCAGGAAAATACAGTATAAATAACACTGTGATCCAAATGTGGACTGTCAAGTAGTAAGGACTCGGAGGTGCAGTCGCGGTGGTCTGTATTGGAGCCGTTTTGATCTCTTTGAGTAGTGAAAGTAGCGGTGAGAAGTATGTGGGGCACCGGCACCCTTCGAAGCGGAGATCATATCCTCACCTTGGGGTGATGTAGTACTATAGTATCACTTACCTAGCGTCTTGCAGCTGCCATCACTACGATTACCCGATTGGTATCCACGTGCGCCATCAAACCGCATGTTCCCGACGGCGTCGTCGCAGGCCTGGTTGTATGCAAATTGCAGGTCAATCGGCCCTTGTTGTCCTTGCTTCTAGTCCATAATACTGGGCTACTGATGGAAATGTTAGTAGGCGTAGCTTTCCCCGTGGAGTCGTCCCCGTGGAGGAGTTGGTGCAGGCTTATCGTCCGACGACGAAGATTGGTGCGCTGCCCTCATATATTCCACCTCGTTCTATTGTTCATGTGCTCAACGTGTTTGATTCTACGACGCGAACGCTATCGTTTCATCCTTGGATCTCTAGGGACTACACAGTCGGGCGCGGCCGTGTTTGAGTTTACGTTCTACGACCAGGACTATGCACACCGTAGCTGTTCGATCTCGTACGTTCGTACGGGACTATGCAGCTACGATAAGATTACACATCTTTCCGCTGTCCAAATTTCCCAGAAGGCCAGGACTATGCACTTGTCATCGTCGTGATTGTTGACGTACACATCGTCGTGGCCCCTGCCCCTTGCCGTTTGGGTTTTTGTCTTCATCCTGCCTCCGCCGAAGCAAGGATTTGTCATTTTGTCTAGGTCCAGCGATCACTCATACTGTATGGATTGTAGCCTCTCCGCCTGTCGGTAGTCCTCTGGAACAGTGGGCCCCACCGAAGCTGCTCCTTCAGCGCAACAGACGTGCCGACTACAGGTTGCATTGTCGTTGAGATGTCTACTGCCCTCGCTGGATGTATGATTTCATAGTTTTCTATATTATCCACGGTATGATCCACTGCTCCGCAGATTCAACGTATGCTCTCGCAACGCAACAAGAATGCGTGCGCGACTCTCCAACGCAAATTTGATCAAGCACCTATATCGCATGCTTGACGGAGTGCTGGAGGAGTGGTCGGTATGTCACATCATATGCTTGACGCAGAAACATGTCCGTAACATCTCCGCTACGTAGGTACGTTCTACTGGACGCTGTTCAGATAGCTGGCGCACCCTGTTAGCAGGACTCGTCTCATGATGGAGGACGCACACCACTCACGTCACGCTTAGAATAGGGAAGCTGACCGTGCAGGTTCCTGCATCAATTCCTTGCCCAGCGCATTTGATAGCGACTTCGTTCCCGCTGTCTCCCTATACGTTAAGGGGCCAGGATCAGCTAGTGACAAGTGACATGTCAACTGTGCACAAACGTACCAGGTCACTGAGGCAGTACTCGATTTCGCCGGAAGAGAAGTTGATTACATTGAACGCACACGTCCCTAACGAAGCTGTCACCATCTCCTGTGGGTCTATCAAGAACGCCTGAGCTGTATGAAGGTGAGTGTTTAAAATGCGAAACGTGCGTGCTCAGAACGTACGACTCAAGTTGACCAGAGCTGCCTGCAGGCTGGAGCAATCGGCGAGGCTCGGGACCGGGCTGGATCCATGGATACATTGCATATTCAGGCCTATGAAATGTCACCATGTGGTGAGGATGTCGCGCTCAATTTGATGGACTTACAAGCAACTCCACATTGGCATTCTGGCGACGGAACCGTGCACTGTGTGGAAAGTCTGGCGTTAAGCCCTCTGGTATGATCGACACTCGACGAAGTTTGTGCCGCGTTGGTGAGGTTAGGGCAGAAGGAGGTTTGGAGCACCACTGTGTGCTCTCTGTCGTGAAGGGTCTTCATGTCAATTACATTGTTTGCGAGGCAGTCCTTGATTATTGCGGCATGGTCTGGTAGTATCAAATCAATAAACCGCCAAGAAATCGTGTCAAGATAGAATGACCTGAACTAGGGATGGGCTCTGCAAGGGCTGCAAGGCCGGACGCGAGGATGAGGAGAACACTGTGTGAAAACATAGTTGAGACTTGGGAAGTACGGAGGATCCGCAAGACTGAGAGAGTGAGCGATGCTCGCTTGAGATGCCAGAGGTTCCTTCCAGGCATTTTATACCCAAGACGGACTGGAATTTCACGGCAGTACTCGCTATACGATTTTCCTGCACCGTATGTGTTTCCGACAAACGTGGAAGTTAGAAGATCTGCGAGAAAAAAGGGGGAGAGGATACCTCCTGTACCTTTGTCCTGGGTGTAGATATTCCGCGATTCCTTTTTGATGTGCCTTTCCCGTTGAAGCTGAAGACTAGGGTAGGTAGGCGTAAATATTGGGATTGGTGCATGCGCTTGAATAATTTAGTGTGGTAAAGCATGGAAATATATTCCGCTCTCGTAGGACCGTTTTGACTGATAAATATGCTATTTAACCCCGACTAAAAAAATAGGACCTGCATTCTACGTACAGTTATACGAAGCATCATAGACGAGTCGTGACCAGACTGATGGATTGACGCTTTCGCCGCACCGTCTTCCGATGAAAGCGTGTGCTCATGAGTGTGTACAACACATTGAGTTCTTGACATGCCTGTGTTCAATACTACCTCCCCTTGATTATCGTGGGATGATGGCCATCGACCGAGTTCAATCTGGCAGTACAATGCCGCGTAGAGTACACTAGGACACCTGACAGGAATCATTACCCAAATGTAGAAGGTCGGTGACCCTGATCAACCTGGACGAATGGTCATACAGCACTCGGCTTGATGATCACTATTCGGACGATGCACGTTGACATTTATCACGCTTCTATCTCCAACTTTGTCATTCCACACATACTTATATATGGTCGTTTACCAGTTTGAGCCGCCTCGAGATGTAACCGTCATGAATATACAGGTTCACTGCTGGTGAACCAGGGAAAGTCGTAGGGTAAAGACCACCACATCCCCGAGGTAGGAAGCCCCCCGGATACAGGTCGACTGAATGCGCATTTATTCATACCAAATGAAATATCAGATTGAGAACCCAGAACATCCCATCTAAATTGGCACGCGGCAAGCAATATTAATGACTTGCTCGGATGGGCTTCAGATGGCCCGGGTGAGCTGATATATATGATGGAAGGATAATAGTTTAGCCTCCTAAAGTGAACTGATGATTAGACGATGCTCGCTGTTTCAAAGCGGCCTTTGACGTGCTAGATGGTTTTTGTACTTGAAAAGTATGGGTATTCATATACGGCGACAAAGGAGGAAATATTTTCAGAAGCATATTGAAGCTTCAAGTTGTCATGGAGGGCGTACTATGCATGCAACATGCGTCTAATTATTTATCGAGGTTGACGTCATGCTTGGAGCTACACCACCTTGGTCAGATGAAGGAGGTAGAAGCAGATTGTGAGCTCGAAATGCAACCCTCCGGTCATCGAAGTATGATGTACTCTTTTGATCAAGATGGTGAACTTTGTATCACGAGCATATATTATACCGCGACTCCTTGTGCAATGGTTCGTGCGTTACCCCTTAGATTCCCTTCCACATATCCGATCCTGAACCCAAGGTCATCCGTGCTATGGACTCTACAGAAACAGACGAGTTGTTCTCAGCTGAGTACATACATATCTAATGTTTAATGATACAAAGAAACTAAGCCGGATACTTGCAGTCTATTCTGGCTATACATCAGCATTGGGACGAGTGGTACGTATATAGCCTTGTATCGAGTCTCATCCACCAATGTCATGTTTAGCTGTGCTGGTTTACGAGTACATCATCACATTCGATGACGAAGTCAGTACTATATGGAGAAGACGCTGGACTGCACCATCCATCCTACTGTTAACCACTCGATGGAACATGATGATCCAAGCGGTGATAAACTTTGCGCCTAGCACGCAACAGGTAAATTCTCATCTACTTTGATCTTCCAGCACTAACGTGTGAGAGTTCTCAAGGAGTAACGAACCTATTTCAGCCCTCTCTGAGTCGCTTATAATTGTTCTTTCTATAGCTGTACCGCGATAAACTGGATCTCAGGAGTTGATTCGCTCATAATGTATATCCAAGTAGCTGGTGAGTACTCTGGATGTATCCTGCAGCACATCTACGACCTAAACGCACATTTCCAGTATTTTCGGCACTGCGCGTTTACGCCACTAGTGGAAGAAATGTCAAGTTATGTAGCATTGTTTTCATTTTGAGCATGGCCCCGTTTGGAATCGACCTGGTATACCCGTCTTAAATATGTCGTTTAATGCTCAGTCTAATTTTCAGAGTGGATGTGCAGGCAGAGCTTGTGCGAAATAGGTTCACCTACACTTCCGATCCGATGGCAGGATGCATAGACGTGGTTCTACTCCCGCAAAGCATCACACATAAGTAAGTAGTATCTCATGCCACGTACCCTATACGAGATCAGCGACTCATAATATCCCACACATCAGGCGTAAATATCCACAGTAATTTCCAGCCCAGGATGGATTTTACTAAGCACATCTTGCAGTGCGATATGTAAACCGAGGATCTCTCACAGCCGCCGATTGCATTGTCCTGACTGTGACATGGATAAGGACATTC